ACATAGAAAGCATGCAGAGGCCGACCTGCTTGCGGTGAGGCTGAGGTATGTGCGTCCCACAGGGACCCGGTGTCTGGCACAGATATCGATCGGTTCATAGAAGGAATTATCCCCTGCTCCCCGGATCTGAAAGGGAAGCAAAAGGGTCAATTGACAAGGCGGAAAAAGTGGCCCAAAGAAAAGGATGGAGGGACGGTGATGGGTTTCCAGGACGGAAAGCACAGCAATGTGTGTTTACAAATGGGTGGGAGAACGTCAGACCTTGGGGGTTGGAATGTGCTTTGGAGACTGCATTTTGCATTCGAGCAACTGAGCTCTGCATGAGCTTTCAAGGGGATGACGAAGAGGGTTTATGCCACTCTCCCTTGAGGGGTGGATGAGGGATCTCACCTGGGCTTGAGAGCCTGTAGCTGCTGGAGGAAGGTGGTCAGCTGCTGGGGGGTCAGGTCTCCCGTGGCCACTTTCTGCTGGAGGGCATACTGCTGCCGGCTGCAGAGGGAGAGAGGGGAAGAAGAAGAAAGCCCATTCAAGGGGTCAATATAGAAAAAGAGGAGGACGTCACACATGTTGTCCCATCCCCTTCAAACTTTGGCCCTGCTCCAGGTGTTTTGGACTTCAACTCCCACAATTCCTAACAGCCTACCGGCTGTTAGGAATTGTGGGAGTTGAAGTCCAAAACACCTGGAGGGCCAAAGTTTGCCCGTGCCTGCAATAGGTCAACAGGGAAGGCATCCCCAGGTGGGCTGACCCCTCCTCGCCCTCGTGCGTCCTTACCTGTTGACCAGCTGGAGCAGTTGCTGCTGCTGGAGCTGCTGGTAGTGGGCGGCCGCGGCCAGCTCTTGCTGCTTCTTCAAGCGCTCCTGGTCCATGTTCCCCTGGGCAAACGAGAGGCATGGAGAGAAGGAGGGGGAGGGGGTTACACATCCACTACGTATCACACAAAGAGGGAGCAAGACAGACCACGACTGGAGCGCAAACGAGAGAACAATCCTGTTGTGGCAGTTGTTGGGCGAGTGAGCTATCATAGAATCATAGAATCAAAGAGTTGGAAGAGACCTCCTGGGCCATCCAGTCCAACCCCATTCTGCCAAGAAGCAGGAATATTGCATTCAAATCACCCCTGACAAATGGCCATCCAGCCTCTGCTTCAAAGCTTCCAAAGAAGGAGCCTCCACCACACTCCGGGGCAGAGAGTTCCACTGCTGAACGGCTCGCACAGTCAGGAAGTTCTTCCTCATTTTCAGATGGAATCTCCTCATCAACAAAAGACCCTCCTCAAAAATGCACAGTAGAGTCACTTATGAGCAGCAGCGTGACCCAGCACCAGTAGGCCGAAGCAATAAAAAGAACTAAAACACAGAGACTAATGTTACCTCTTCCTTAAGAGATAACACTAACATGGTTGCACTATTTACAACAACGTTTCCATAACACAAATAAACAAATACACAGTAGCTTTACACACAGCAGTCTTCACACTGGAGCTTTCTCACACAAGGCTTCTCTCACACTGAGGTTTACTCACACTTCTCAGGACGACAGTGACTTCGTCAGTTAGTGTCACCTCTGACAGACTTCGGCCCGCCCACTCTCCTCAGGATGAAACTATTGGTCCACTGACTCTTAACAGACTTCGGCCTACCCATTCTCCACAGGATGAAATTATTGGCCCACTGACTCTAACAGACCGGCCTACCCACTCTCCACAGGATGAAACTATTGGCCCACTGACTCTAACAGACTTCGGCCTACCCACTCTCCACAGGATGAAACTATTGGCCCACTGACTCTGACAGACTTTGGCCTACCCACTCTCCACAGGATGAAACTATTGGTCCACTGACTGCTTTACACACAGCAGTGGCCTACCCACTCTCCACAGGATGAAACTATTGGTCCACTGACTCTAACAGACTTCACCTACCCACTCTCCTCAGGATGAAACTATTGGTCCACTGACTCTAATAGGCTTCGGCCTACCCACTCTCCTCAAGATGACACTATTGGTCCACTGACTCTAACAGGCTTCGGCCTACCCACTCTCCTCAAGATGACACTATTGGTCCACTGACTCTAACAAGGCTTTGCCCTGCCCACTCTCCTCAGGATGACACTATTGGCCCACTGACTCTAACAGGCTTCGGCCTACCCACTCTGCTCAGAATGAAACTATTGGCCCACTGACTCTCAACAGGCTTCGGCCTACCCACTCTCCTCAGAATGAAACTATTGGTCCACTTGCTCTAACAGGCTTCGACCTACCCACTCGCCTCAGGATGAAACTATTTGCCCCCTGACTCTAACAGGTTTTGGCCTACCCACTCTCCTCAGGATGAAACTATTGGCCCACTGACTCTAACAGGCTTCGGCCTACCCACTCGCCTCAGGATGAAACTATTTGCCCACTGACTCTAACAGGTTTCGGCCTACCCACTCTCCTCAGGATGAAACTATTGGCCCACTGACTCTAACAGGCTTCGGCCTAACCACTCTCCACAGGATGAAACTATTGGCCCACTGACTCTAACAGGCTTCGCCTACCCACTCTCCTCAGGATGATACTATTGGCCCACTGACTCTAACAGGTTTCGGCCTACCCACTCTCCTCAGGATGAAACTATTGGCCCACTGACTCTAACAGACTTCACCTACCCACTCTCCTCAGGATGAAACTATTGGTCCACTGACTCTAATAGGCTTCGGCCTACCCACTCTCCTCAAGATGACACTATTGGTCCACTGACTCTAACAGGCTTCGGCCTACCCACTCTCCTCAAGATGACACTATTGGTCCACTGACTCTAACAGGCTTTGCCCTGCCCACTCCCCTCAGGATGACACTATTGGCCCACTGACTCTAACAGGCTTCGGCCTACCCACTCTGCTCAGAATGAAACTATTGGCCCACTGACTCTCAACAGGCTTCGGCCTACCCACTCTCCTCAGAATGAAACTATTGGTCCACTTGCTCTAACAGGCTTCGGCCTACCCACTCGCCTCAGGATGAAACTATTTGCCCCCTGACTCTAACAGGTTTCGGCCTACCCACTCTCCTCAGGATGAAACTATTGGCCCACTGACTCTAACAGACCGGCCTACCCACTCTCCACAGGATGAAACTATTGGTCCACTGACTCTAACAGACTTCGGCCTACCCACTCTCCTCAGGATGAAACTATTGGCCCACTGACTCTAACAGGCTTCGGCCTACCCACTCTCCACAGGATGAAACTATTGGCCCACTGACTCTAACAGGCTTCGCCTACCCACTCTCCTCAGGATGATACTATTGGCCCACTGACTCTAACAGGTTTCGGCCTACCCACTCTCCTCAGGATGAAACTATTGGCCCACTGACTCTAACAGACTTCGGCCTACCCACTCTCCACAGGATGAAACTATTGGTCCACTGACTCTAACAGACTTCAGCCTACCCACTCTCCTCAGGATGAAACTATTGGCCCACTGACTCTAACAGGCTTCGGCCTACCCACTCTCCACAGGATGAAACTATTGGCCCACTGACTCTAACAGACTTTGGCCTACCCACTCTCCACAGGATGAAACTATTGGTCCACTGACTCTAACAGACTTCACCTACCCACTCTCCTCAGGATGAAACTATTGGTCCACTGACTCTAATAGGCTTCGGCCTACCCACTCTCCTCAAGATGACACTATTGGTCCACTGACTCTAACAGGCTTCGGCCTACCCACTCTCCTCAAGATGACACTATTGGTCCACTGACTCTAACAGGCTTTGCCCTGCCCACTCCCCTCAGGATGACACTATTGGCCCACTGACTAACAGGCTTCGGCCTACCCACTCTGCTCAGAATGAAACTATTGGTCCATTTTCTCTCAACAGGCTTCGGCCTACCCACTCTCCTCAGAATGAAACTATTGGTCCATTTGCTCTAACAGGTTTCGGCCTACCCACTCTCCTCAGGATGAAACTATTGGCCCACTGACTCTAACAGGCTTCGGCCTACCCACTCTCCTCAGGATTAAACTATTTGCGCACTGACTCTAACAGGCTTCGGCCTACCCACTCGCCTCAGGATTAAACTATTGGCCCACTGACTCTAACAGGCTTCGGCCTACCCACTCTCCTCAAGATGACACTATTGGTCCAATGACTCTAACAAGGCTTTGCCCTGCCCACTCTCCTCAGGATTAAACTATTTGCCCACTGACTCTAACAGGCTTCGGCCTACCCACTCTGCTCAGAATGAAACTATTGGCCCACTGACTCTCAACAGTCTTCGGCCTACCCACTCTCCTCAGAATGAAACTATTGGTCCACTTGCTCTAACAGGCTTCGGCCTACCCACTCGCCTCAGGATGAAACTATTTGCCCCCTGACTCTAACAGGTTTCGGCCTACCCACTCTCCTCAGGATGAAACTATTGGCCCACTGACTCTAACAGGCTTCGGCCTACCCACTCGCCTCAGGATTAAACTATTGGCCCACTGACTCTAACAGACTTTGGCCTACCCACTCTCCACAGGATGAAACTATTGGTCCACTGACTCTAACAGACTTCACCTACCCACTCTCCTCAGGATGAAACTATTGGCCCACTGACTCTAACAGGCTTCGGCCTACCCACTCTCCACAGGATGAAACTATTGGCCCACTGACTCTAACAGACTTTGGCCTACCCACTCTCCACAGGATGAAACTATTGGTCCACTGACTCTAACAGACTTCACCTACCCACTCTCCTCAGGATGAAACTATTGGTCCACTGACTCTAATAGGCTTCGGCCTACCCACTCTCCTCAAGATGACACTATTGGTCCACTGACTCTAACAGGCTTCGGCCTACCCACTCTCCTCAAGATGACACTATTGGTCCACTGACTCTAACAGGCTTTGCCCTGCCCACTCCCCTCAGGATGACACTATTGGCCCACTGACTAACAGGCTTCGGCCTACCCACTCTGCTCAGAATGAAACTATTGGTCCATTTTCTCTCAACAGGCTTCGGCCTACCCACTCTCCTCAGAATGAAACTATTGGTCCATTTGCTCTAACAGGTTTCGGCCTACCCACTCTCCTCAGGATGAAACTATTGGCCCACTGACTCTAACAGGCTTCGGCCTACCCACTCTCCTCAGGATTAAACTATTTGCGCACTGACTCTAACAGGCTTCGGCCTACCCACTCGCCTCAGGATTAAACTATTGGCCCACTGACTCTAACAGGCTTCGGCCTACCCACTCTCCTCAAGATGACACTATTGGTCCAATGACTCTAACAAGGCTTTGCCCTGCCCACTCTCCTCAGGATTAAACTATTTGCCCACTGACTCTAACAGGCTTCGGCCTACCCACTCTGCTCAGAATGAAACTATTGGCCCACTGACTCTCAACAGGCTTCGGCCTACCCACTCTCCTCAGAATGAAACTATTGGTCCACTTGCTCTAACAGGCTTCGGCCTACCCACTCGCCTCAGGATGAAACTATTTGCCCCCTGACTCTAACAGGTTTCGGCCTACCCACTCTCCTCAGGATGAAACTATTGGCCCACTGACTCTAACAGGCTTCGGCCTACCCACTCGCCTCAGGATGAAACTATTGGCCCACTGACTCTAACAGGCTTCGGCCTACCCACTCTCCTCAGGATGAAACTATTGGCCCACTGACTCTAACAGACTTCGGCCTACCCACTCTCCACAGGATGAAACTATTGGTCCACTGACTCTAACCAGACCTCACCTACCCACTCTCCTCAGGATGAAACTATTGGTCCACTGACTCTAATAGGCTTCGGCCTACCCACTCTCCTCAAGATGACACTATTGGTCCACTGACTCTAACAGGCTTTGCCCTGCCAACTCTCCTCAGGATGACACTATTGGCCCACTGACTAACAGGCTTCGGCCTACCCACTCTCCTCAGAATGAAACTATTGGTCCATTTGCTCTAACAGGTTTCGGCCTACCCACTCTCCTCAGGATGAAACTATTGGCCCACAGACTCTAACAGGCTTCGGCCTACCCACTCGCCTCAGGATTAAACTATTTGCCCACTGACTCCAACAGGCTTCGGCCTACCCACTCGCCTCAGGATTAAACTATTGGCCCACTGACTCTAACAGGCTTCGGCCTACCCATTCTCCACAGGCTGAAACTATTGGCTCACTGACTCTAACAGGCTTCGGCCTACCCACTCTCCACAGGATGAAACTATTGGCCCACTGACTCTAACAGGCTTCGGTCTACTCGCTCTCCTCAGGATGACACTATTGGCCCACTGACTCTAACAGGCTTCGGCCTACCCACTCTCCTCAGGATGAAACTACTGGCCCACTGACTCTATCAGGCTTCGGCCTACCCACTCTCCTCAGGATGACACTATTGGCCCACTGACTCTTAACAGGCTTCGGCCTACCCACTCACCTGAGGATGAAACTATCGGCCCAATGATTTCTAAGCCGAAAAGTCGGCGTTATCCATAGACAGACACCTCAAAGGTCATGTGGCTATGGCCATGACTGCATGGAGTGCTGTTACGTTTCCGCTGGAGTGGCACCTATTGATCTACTCACATTTGCATGTTTTCAAACTGCTAGGTTGGCAGAGCCTGGGACTGACAGCGGAAGCTCACGCCGCTCCCTGGATTTGAACCTGCGACCTTCCAGTCAACAAGCTCAGCAGTTCAGCGGTTTAACCCACTGTGCCGCAAATACCTAGTTAATATTTAATATTTCTGACAGCAGTGCCCACAGATTCAACACCCATCTTCCAGTGAAACAGAATCACCCATCAGCAACACAGTCTGATTTTTTTTCATCTAGAAATGGAAGTGATAAGTAGGCAGAGAGTGTGAAGCTGAAGCTAACACAGGACAGGTTGGGCATTCCTTGTCCAGAAGTTTTTTGGATCTTGGGATATCCTGTACTGGGAATACAGTATATGTCAGCCCCATATCCAAGTTGTGTGATAACTTGGAGGTAGGTTCCAAGCTGGCACCATTTTAGCCACTACCAGACTCCAAGCGAGCTATTGTCCTTTCTTTTGTTAGACCACAAAGTTTGGCAATATCAGAAGGTGATCTGAAGACCACGTTTTTCCAGCAGAAACAACAAGCATCTCTCTCAAAAGCCACACCAGCAGAGGAATTTTGGGAGTTCTAGTGCAAAGAGAAGGTGTTTCCATACAGCCTGTACCTGACCCACCACCCCAAGGGCTGCTCTACTTCTTTGCTCCTTCCGCGGCCACCAGACCCCATTGGAGACCCCCCTGCCAGTCCCTCTCCAGGCCAGGTGCTCACCAGTAATGGCGGAGGCGACGGACCCGGAGCGAAAGGCACTCTTCCCCACATCTTGATGACTTCTCCCAGTGGCTGGAAGCCCTCGTCACAGCCCCGCTTGACCAGCAGCGACATGGTGAAGTAGCCGGCCTGGAACCACTCGGCCATCTCCTGCGTGGTGAAGGGACCTGAAGGGGGAGAATGTCGCATCACATGCAGGACAGTGAGCCACGGCACAACCCATGTACCCCTCCCCCAATGTGTGAATGTGTGGCAGTGCACTCCGCAATGCGGCACTCACCTTGGATCTCGCCCTGGGGGTCCTTGTAGAACCACTTCATGGCTGCTTCATGGGAGAGCGGCAAGGCGGCGGCCGTGTTGCGGTGGTCCACGATGGCGTGGGCAAAGTGCTCCTCCTCCAGTGAGCTGTCCTGCAAGGAGGCCACCATCTTCTCAGCTTCCTGGAAATGAGATGAGGGACAGAAGGGTTTGGAATGGAACCTTTCAAGGAGGCAAGAGGGACAGCCAGGTACACAACAAGACGGTTCTCTCGGGGCAGCAGAAGGAAAGGGAGAACGCAGAAGGACTGAGACCCATAGCAGGAGGGATATTGCTTGTCTCAGCCTACTTGCCACAAGAAAACCAAAGTGCTCTTCCAGCAGTCACCAGCCAATCCCTCTCCAATGCCAGAGATACAGCTTAATGGTGTAACATTAGAAAATGTTGACCATTTCCGCTCCCTTGGCAGCCACCTCTCCACCAAAGTCAACATTGACACCGAAATACAACACCGCCTGAGCTCTGCGAGTGCAGCATTTTTCCGAATGAAGCAGAGAGTGTTTGAGGACCGGGACATCCATAGGGAGACCAAGGTGCTTGTTTATAAAGCTATTGTCCTCCCAACCCTGCTATATGCCTGTGAGACGTGGACTGTCTACAGACGTCACATGCAACTCCTGGAACGATTCCATCAGCGCTGCCTCCGGAAAATCCTGCAAATCTCTTGGGAAGACAGGCGGACAAACATCAGCGTGCTGGAAGAAGCAAAGACCACCAGCATTGAAGCGATGGTCCTCCGCCATCAACTCCGCTGGACCGGCCACGTTGTCCAGATGCCCGACCACCGTCTCCCAAAGCAGTTGCTCTACTCCGAACTCAAGAATGGAAAATGGAATGTTGGTGGACAGGAAAAGAGATTTAAAGATGGGCTCAAAGCCAACCTTAAAAACTCTGGCATAGACACTGAGAACTGGGAAGCCCTGGCCCTTGAGTGCTCCAGCTGGAGGTCAGCTGTGACCAGCAGTGCTGCAGAATTTGAAGAGGCACGAATGGAGGGTGAAAGAGAGAAACGTGCCATGAGGAAGGCTCATCAAGTCAACCACGACTGAGACCGCCTTCCACCTGGAAACCGATGCCCTCACTGTGGGAGAAGATGCAGGTCAAGAATAGGGCTCCACAGTCACCTATGGACCCACCAGAACTCATCCTGGAAGACTACCCTACTCGGCCAATGAGGGATCGCCTAAGTAAGTAAAGTGGCGCAAGAAAGACCACTGCCCTCCTCGCAAATGGCACAGGAGTAACATTGAATGCCACAGGAAGGCTATCCTCCCTGCAAATCTGACCCAAAGGGAGGGATCAAAGCAGCCCTTGCATTTGGACCCACGTTCAAGGTTTTGCAGCCTCCCACAGAAGCACAGCCTCTCCTATTTGAAGACTAGTATTCGATTTGACCTATAGGCCCCATTGATATTTGTGCTGCTACAATGCCACCAATCCACTGCTATTGAAAAATGATCTCAATCAATAAATATTTTCTAAAAATATTCAATGAACCTGGCATATTTAATGCCCCCTTAAGAGCTCCCACCCACCCACCCAACCACTGGAGACTCACAGGAGATAAACAGCGGACGGCAGGCAAGGGAATGTCAGAAATATTAAAAACGAGGTAATTTAATTAAAAAATATGAGTCAAGCACTGAAAGAGTTAGTAGGCCGAAGCCTGTTAGCATCAGTGGGCCAAAGCTAGTATCATTGTGAGGAGAGTGAGTAGGCCAAAGCCTGTTAAGAGTTAGTGGGCCAAAGCTTTATTTATATTCTTCTCTATCTCCCCAAAGGGACTCAGGGCGGTTTCCAAACATAAAAGGCCAACAGTCAATTCCCAAATACAACCACAATACATACTAATAAAATTTATACAACCCAACGTATAAATCTATATAAATAAAAATGTAACGTTTGTTTGTGGGATTAACATAACTCAAAAACCACTGGGGGAGACTTTTTTCAGCCTAAAAAAAGGACTAATAAACTAGGCTTATACTCGAGTATATACAGTAATAAGCGAAACAACCATATAAAAACAAACAATTAAAAACAAAAGATTTCACTGGGCAGGACCACATTGAAGGATAAGATTTTAAAACACTGGGAGGTAGGGCAATGTAAAATTACTCTGCTATACATTCATGGGGAGGGTCTTTTGTCATAAGCCTGCTTGCCCAATGGGGAATCCCACCAAGGGATTTGGACAGCCCTTTGGACAGCCGCCCACCTGTTGCAGGTGCTTCATCCCGTCCTCGTCCTCATTGTCCCCAACTACAAATTCAGTAGTAGCAGTAGCAGCGGCTGTGGACGACGGCGTTGGCGCAGGAAGAACAGAGATGGCAACGGGGCTCAGCTGCGTTGGCGGGCTGAGGAGGCCCGGCTCTCCTGCAGAATTAAAGAAGGGTGTGAGAGGAGGACACTGGGCACAAACCAGCACTCTCTGTCCCGCAGGGCTCTTGGTTCTTCTCTGGGGGTCCCCAGTCTCCAAAAAGGAGAGAGGGAAGGCCGGACAAAGATCCCAGTCTCCAAACCATCTGGTCTACGTTTCCCCAAGTTGGCATCATCCCCTCGGGCCATGTTCTGACCCACAAGGTACTCTGGGGAAGCGGCAAAGAGGGGTGCACCTACCGTCCATGGCTTCAGCCTCCTGGTTGCTGCTGGCAGCCATCGGGGGCCCCTCGGCTTTGGAGGAGACTCCTGGGCCGGCCGTTTCACATTCGCCAGTTGGTACGACAGCAGCAGGAGCCATGGAGAAGGGGGGGCCGGAGCGCCAGGGGGCACCAGGGGGGGCCGGCACACTCTCGTCTGGCACTTGCCGGGGCTCCTTCCGCTCTGAGAAAAAGAGTGTTCCAGGGAGCAAGAACAGACCATGAAGTCGAAATCAGCAGCCGGGGAAATGACCCTCCATCCCCAAGGCCGCTGGCCAGGCCTGTAGCGAGGGGGGGGGGGGGTAGGTTCAACAACCCCCCCCCTGAAATTTTTCATGTTAAAAAAAAATAAACGTGGTTTACTTATGAATTTTAACTGGTTAACCCAATTCCCATGCTAAGTCTATGAGATGCAAAAAATTAAGAGTCCCTCCAGAACTGCAAGCACTATCTCTAGCAAATATTGACAATTTATTCACACTGTAATTATTTGCAGCAATAGCTGATGTAGTGAAGCACCCAAGTTTGGGGGGGGGGGGGGTGTTGAATGCTCTCATTAAGGAGGCCAGACTTGGTGGAGGTGGTTGACAGGGGCGGAGGTGCAGGCTATGCTATGCTCTTTGCTTCAGCGTGAGTTAGCAGGCAGGTTTCAATTCCCCCCCCCCCCCGAAATTTTCACCCCCCCCCCCCCCCCCCCAAATTTTCAACCCTCCCTGAAATTTTTTTCTGGCTACGGCCCTGCCGCTGACCACTGCCCCTTACCTCTCTCTGGCCCCTCCTTGGCCGTGGGGCTGACAGGAAGCTCCCCACTGCCCTTCTGGCTCCCGTCCTGAGCCTCCGGCACGTCACCCTCTCCCTCTTCCTCCTCCTCTTCTTGCAGGGGCTGGAAGCTTAACTCCTGATCTTCGTGGGCTGACTCTTTGGGGCTCTTCTGCGGAAGCGGGGGCAGAAGGGGAGACTCCATCGTTAGTTTAGCAAAACATAATAGGCCATCTACAAAAGACATCCCAGGCACCCCTCATCTGCTCGGAGGAGAGGAAGCCGCATTCTGAGGAGACGACGGGAAGGAGCAGAACTACAGCCAGGCCTAACTAACTCTTCCTGCTCTGGTTGTTTTGGACCTCAGCCCCCAAAATGACCCACCGCTGGCCTTACCAGCTGGGGCTGATGGGAGTGTGACCTCTGCAGCCTCTGGGTAGGGCAGGCTGTGCCCATTACTCTGGAATAAACTTCTAGATCAGAGGGGGGCAACTGTGTGAGGCAGGACTCGACCCCGAGGCCTAGCACCACCCCCCAGGTCATGTTAGGGAAAACTACCCTAAATTATAGCAGAGCATCCAAAAACAAACAGGATACAAAAGTTGAGCATCAGCTCATTAGTGAGCAGAGTGTGAAGTGCCGTGTGTTGAGGCTGTAAAGAATTCAGAGCTTAGGAGGCAAACACGAGGAGACGAGGAGCAGGGCCTTCTCAGTGGTGGCCCCTCACCTATGGAATTCATTCCCCGGGGAAATTAGATCAGCGACATCCCTCCTTTCCTTCAGAAAGAAATTAAAAACATGGATGTGGGACCAGGCGTTTGGGCAATCTGGCAGATAAATAAAGGACTGCGACGACGGATAGGAATAGACAATGTGGAACGAAGTATGGACTCTGAGTTGGCGAACGCTGTGCATGAGATTGGCTATTGACTGTGATATATATTGTTGTTTTAATTGTTTAACCGTTTAACTGCTGTTTTTATACATTTATTGTATTATTGTGTAGGCACCGAATTGTGCCATTTTGTAAGCCGTCCTGAGTCCCCCCTCGGGGGTTGAGAAGGGCGGGGTAGAAGTATACGAAATAAATAATAAATAATAAGAGTCCAATCTTTTAAAAAATCACAAAAGGTTTACCGTATATACTCGAGTATAAGTCGACCCGAATATAAGCCGAGGCACCTAATTTTACCACAAAAAAACTGCGAAAACATATTGACTCAAGTATAAGCCGGAGGTGGGAAATGCAGCAACTACTGGTAAGTTCCAAAATAAAATCCAATAAAATTACATCAGTTGAGACATCAGTAGGTTAAATGTTTTTGAATATTTACATCAAACTGTAATTTAAGATACGACTGTCCAACTCTGATTAAACCATGATACCAACCCTTTTCAGTGTAAATATATTTGTACACCCTTCCAATAATAATAGAGTAAAATAATGGAAATGTAATAATAACAGTAATAATAGAGTAAAATAATAAATGTAACAATAACAACAACAATAGAGTAAAATAATGTGTCCAGCTGGAATGTGTCCAGAGGAGGGCGACTAAAATGATCAAGGGTCTGGAGAACAAGCCCTATGAGGAGCGGCTTAAGGAGCTGGGCATGTTTAGCCTGAAGAAGAGAAGGATGAGAGGAGATATGATGAGAACCATGTATAAATATGTGAGAGGAAGCCACAGGGAGGAGGAGGGAGCAAGCTTTTTTTCTGCTTTCCTGGAAACTAGGATGCGAAACAATGGCTTCAAACTACAAGAAAGGAGATTCCATCTGAACATGAGGAAGAACTTCCTGACTGTGAGAGCCGTTCAGCAGTGGAACTCTCTGCCCCGGAGTGTGGTGGAGGCTCCTTCTTTGGAAGGTTTGAAACAGAGGCTGGATGGCCATCTGTCAGGGGTGATTTGAATGCAATATTCCTGCTTCTTGGCAGAATCGGGTTGTACTGGATGGCCCAGGAGGTCTCTTCCAACTCTAGGATTCTATTATTCTAATAAATGTAATAATAGAGTAAAATAATAATAATAATAATAATAATAGAATTAAATAATAAATAATCTTGAGTATAAGCCAAATGGGACTTTTCAGCCTAAAAAAAGGGCTGAAAAACTAGGCTTATACTCGAGTATATACAGTAATTACAATAACAAGAAATAATTACGCATTTTAATAATCAAGAACTGGGTGTGAGCTACTCTAACACCCATCTCTTCTAAGGTTTCAAGAGAGGGAAAATCATCCAAGCACAACATCTCTCCTGACACAACACAAGCAGAGAGAGATCTCAAAGCACACAGCACATACTCTCCAGACTAAAGGGTAAGAAGGCAGATTCAACAAGGCTTACAATGGAAAAGTATCACTTTTAAACAATTAATCAGAATGAGAGCAGAAACGAAGAGGAGAGAGCAAATAGATGATGATAATAATAATAATAATAATCTTTATTTGTACCCCGCTACCATCTCCCCAAGGGACTCGGTGCGGCTTACATGAGGCCGAGCCCACAATACAACAATAAACAATAGCAACAATAATACAAAGCAATAAATAACTCATAAGCAAAAATAAGCAATAAACATTAACAGTAACACGACACATTTAAAAACCTATGGCTGGGCCAAATGTAATAATTAAAATTTTAAAAAAATAATGCTGGGCATGACAAGGTGACATGAAACTGAGATAGAAGTTTTTGAAAAGGGATGAGTGTGCAGACAATCTTAAATCACTAATAAAGAGCGTTTAGGGACATATTGCTGGGAGTTTCCTTATTCTGGGAAGGCACACTGAAACAACCATGTTTTTAGGCTCCTCCTAAAGTTGGGGCTTGCCTAATGTCCTTGGGGAGTGAGTTCCAGAGTCAAGGGGCCACCACCGAGAAGGCTCTCTCCCTCGTCCCCACCAATCGCGCTTGCGATGGTGGTGGGAGCATGAGCAGGGCCTCTCCAGATGATCGAAGAGATCGTGTGGGTTCGTATACAGAGATGCCGTCACGCAGGTAGGCGGGTCCCAAAACGTTTAGGGCTTTGTGGGTATGCACCTGCACCTTGATTGGGACCGGTAAATGAACGGCAGCCAATGGAGCTCCTTAAACAGAAGGGTTGACCGCTCCCTGCAAGGGAGATACATTCCCAACTGTCATTCAGGAGACACGGGGGAAGGGAAACCCTCAGACTATTCTAATGCTAACTAACTTCTCCTCAATGAGGACTTGAGACTTGGGCTACATGATAACAAGGAGTGATGACACTTCTTGTTGTACCTGTAATGTGTGGGTAGTCCTGGGTGGTCAAGAGGGAGGGGCTGAGTGCCGCACGTTAAGAGCCCGAACATAAGGTGCTCCTCCTCCCTCCCTCCCTCCCTCCCTCCTTCGTTGGGACCCCTCTGTACCTTGAGGGACATGAAGGCCCCAGAGGAGTCAAAGGTCCCCATCTCCTCTTCCTCGTCTTCCAAGCACCACTCGGGGAGGCCATCTTTGTCGTCCTCAAAGCTGTCACTGTTGTGCCGATGGCGCCGCCCGCCCCGCGGTTCATCCTCGCGCTCCCGGAAGTCAAAGTCGAACTTCCTGCGGCGCCCTTCACCTCCGTGCTCTCGCCACCCTGCTGAACGAGGTCCTCCGTCTACGGGATCCAGAGGGTGGGAGATTAGTGGCAAGGGGTGGGATGCTTCTGAAGTGTCATCACAGCACCCCCCCTCCTCCTCCTCTGACTGACCAGCAGGACCACCCCTGAGCGCCTCACCTGGGCTAGCCGACCGCCAGCGCTCGCTCTCCCTCCTGGCCACTCCGCTCTGCCGCCAGCTGCCCCCCAACCCAGCCGTAGCAGCAGCACCAGCAGTGCCGCCACTCTCCTCCTCCTCCTCGTGCTCCTCTCTCAGCGTCCGCCAATTGTCGCTGTCCGAGCGGGCAAAGTCCTTCCGGCCTGGAGGGGCTGCCTCTTCGAACGGAGCCCGGACTGAAGGGGAAAGAGAGGCAGAAAAAGATTGCAGAGGAGCTATTTGGGTGGGGGGGGGGTGTGGGAATCGCCTGCCAAGTAGGATGAAAACAGTGCTGTTTGGAATTAGCCCAACCCAAGAGGGAGGAGGAAGAGGAGAAGTGCCATGTTGGCTGTGATCCCAGCAAATTGATCTTTGTCTTGGGAGTGGGTCTAGGAGTGCAGATAACACCCATAATAATAATAATAATAATAATAATAATAATAATAATAACTTTATTTATACCCCGCCACCATCTCCCCAAGGGACTCAGAGCGGCTTACATGAGGCCAAGCCCAACAACACATCAATAAAAACAACAAGGAATAAGCAAAATAAACAATGCAATTAATATAACTCACACATAGACAATAACACACAAGGATTTAATAATAATATTTTTTTTTGTCGTGTCAGGAGTGACTCCTGGTGTGAGAGAATTGGCCGTCTGCAAGGACGTTGCCCAGGGTATGCCTAGATGATTTTATGTTTTTATCATCCTTGTGGGAGGCTTCTCTCATGTCCCCGCATGAGAGCTGGAGCTGATAGAGGGAGCTCATCTGCCTCTCCCCGGATTCGAACCTGCGACCTGTCGGCCTTCAGTCCTGCCAGCACAAGGGTTGAACCCACTGCGCCATTGGGGGCTCAAGAGAGGTGGGAAGGCAAGAGGAGGAGCCCCTGGTAAACATTCAATGCCAATTTGGACATACAACATATACAGACATAGACAGAGGCTATTTAACTTTTTCTGGCCGCCCAGAGAAGCTGTCACTTTCATCGTCCATCTGCGACACTGATGAAGTACTTCCGCATTCCCCGCATGCTTTTTGCTGGAGTGCTTGCTGGAGTCTTTTTTAATGGCCTCATAAATTAGTTAATTTAGCCTCCCCACACTTTAAGGTGGTACCTAATTTTCCTACTTGACAGATGCAACTGTCTTTCGGGTTGCAAAGGTCGACAACAGGCTACACAATTGGTTGGAAACCCACTCCAACCAGGGCTGGCTTCGAACTCATGACCTTTTGGTCAGAGTGATCTTAATGCAGCTGACACTCAGCCAGCTGCGCCACAATCCCGGTGTGGGGCACTGGATTCCCCTACAAATGGGAGCTTAGGACCCCCCCCCCCCCAAAATAAACTTTAAATAAAACCTGCAAAAAATGAGACCCCTGGAAACACTGCCTCCCCATCCACAAGCCATGAAGGCAGAAAGGGAATTCCTGCCGGCAGCTCTTGGTCCCAAAACCTTAAGCCTCCCCTGTTGCACTCCAACGTACCTCCTTCTCGTCGAATGGGCTTCTCAAACCGTCGTTCTCCTCTGCAGGAGATGAGGAGAGGAAAGGAGAGAGGAAAGCAAGCGTTAGAACAGGAGGAAGGAGGACACAGGCAGCCAACCCACCACCACCAAGCCCCCCGAGTATGGGCACCAACCCTTCTCCCTCACCGGTCATCCCGCATTATCACAGGGTGTCTGCGCCCTACACCACTGGAGAAATTACACTGCTTAGCCGGTGTTGCACCACCTGACATCCGCCGGGAAGTAGCAGCCAATAGTGAAAGGACCAAGGCAGAGACATCTCCAGCTCATCCCCTGTTTGGGTATCAGCCAGCACGTCAACAACTTAAATCTAGAAATAGTTTTCTAAGATCTACAGAGACACTCGCTGGAACACCTCAGCAAGCGAGAGTCCAAAAGTGGCAGGCTCAAACTCAGAACTTCAACCAATGGCTGATACCAAATCAGAGACTCCCCCCTGGGCACACAGAGGACTGGGCGACTTGGAAGGCGCTGAACAGACTGCGCTCTGGCACCACGAGATGCAGAGCCAACCTTCAGAAATGGGGCTACAAAGTGGAATCCTCGACATGCGAGTGTGGAGAGGAGCAAACCACTGACCACCTGCTGCAATGCAACCTGAGCCCTGCCACATGCACAATGGAGGACCTCCTTGCGGCAACACCAGAGGCACTCCAAGTGGCCAGATACTGCTCAGAGGACATTTAATCAACTACCAAACTCACACAATTTGTATTTTGTCTGTTTGTTTGGTTTGTTCTGTTAGAAATGTAATATAATTTGAGTGGTTGTCCTGACACGACAAATAAATAAATAAATACCGGTCATCCCAGCTCTGGCTGCGGTGTATCTCGCGGACTGCTCCACGGCCAAATGCTCCTTCCGCCTCTTCAATGCTTCTTTGGTAAAAGCCGCTCTCACCTCGGCCACGGCCTGTTGCAGGCGACAAGAGGCCAGAAAGGGGTCACATCCTGATATCCCCCCCCACACACACACACTTAATTGTCTCCCTCCCTCCCTCCCTCAAGGCAAGAGGAGGGGTCCCTACCTTCCTGTGAGCACCCACCTGGCCTCCCTTCCGTACCTCGGCTTCGCGTGCTGCCCCTCCCCCGGGAGACTCCAGCGGGGGCGGCCCCGGCCCCCTTCCCCATCAGCCTCAGCACAGCAACGCTATTCACAGACATGGAGAAGTTCCTCTGGAGGGGGGAGAGGAGGAGGAGAGAGAAGTTGACAGGGAGGGGGACGTGTTCGGGAGGGGGCTTATTAACAAAAGACCCTCCTCATAAATGCACAGCAGAGTCACTTAGCAGCAGAAGTGTGACCCAGGACCAGGAACCCAAAGTGAGAAAAAGAACCAAAAACACACAGATCAATGTCATCTCTTCCTTAGGAGACTTTTCTTGGGAGCAAAATAATATGGTTGCACTATTTACAAAAATAAATAGATTTCCAGAACACAAATAAGGTTTCCAGAACACAAATAAACAAATACATAGTAACTTTACACACAGCAGCCTTCTTCTCACTGGAGCTTTCTCACACGAGACCTCTCACACTGAGGTTTACCTCACACTCCTCAGGCGACACTACCTTTGGCCTGCTGACTCTTAACTCACTCTTCTCAGGACGACACTAGCTTTGGCCCATTGACTATGTAACAGGCTTTGGCCTATTCACTCTCCTCAGGACGACACTAGCTTTGGCCCACTGAACCTAACATGCTTGGGCCTACTCACTCTCCTCAGGACAACATTAGCTTTGGTCAACTGATTAACAGGCTTTGGCATGCTCACTCTCCTCAGGATGACGTTAACTTTGGCCCACTGACTCTTAACAGGCTTCGGCCTACTCACTCTCCTCAGGACGACACTAGCTTTGGCCCACTGACTCTTAATAGGCTTCGGCCTACTCATCCTCCTCAGGACGACAATAGCTTTGGCCCACTGACTCTTAACAAGCTTTGGCCTACTCACTCTCCTCAGGACGACACTAGCTTTTGCCCACTGACTCTGAATAGGCTTCGGCCTCCTCACTCTCCTCAGGACGACACTAGCTTTGGCCCACTGACGCTTAACAGGCTTCGGCCTACCCACTCTCCTCAGCATGATGTTAGCTTTGGCGCACTGACTCTAACAGGCTTCATCCTACTCACTCTCCTCAGGACGACACTAGCTTTCACCCACTAATTCTTAACAAGCTTGGCCTACTGACTCTTAACAAGCTTCGGCCTACTCGCTCTCCTCAGGACGACACTAGCTTTCGCCCACTAACTCTTAACAAGCTTCGGCCTACTCACTCTCCTCAGGACAACACTAGCTTTGGCCCACTGACTCTTAACAGACTTTGGCCTACTCACTCTCCTCAGGGTGACACTAGYTTTGGCCCACTGACTCTTAACAGGCTTCGGCCTACTCACTCTCCTCAGGACACTAGCTTTCGCCCACTAACTCTTAACAAGCTTCGGCCTACTCATTCTCCTCAGGATGACGCTAGCTATGGCCTACTGACTCTTAACAAGCTTCGGCCTACTCACTCTCCTCAGGACGACGCTAGCTATGGCCTACTGACTCTTAACAAGCTTCAGCCTACTCCCTCTCCTAAGGACGACACTAGCTTTAGCCCACTGACTCTAACAGGCTTCGGCCTACTCACTCTCCTCAGGACGATGCTAGCTATGGCCTACTGACTCTTAACAAGCTTAGGGCCTACTCACTCTCCCCAGGACAACACTAGCTTTTGCCCACTGACTCTTAATAGGCTTCAGCCTACTCACTCTCCTTAGAACGACACTAGCTTTGGCCCACTGATTCTAATCGGCTTCAGCCTACTCACTCTTCTCAGGACGAGACTAGCTTTGGCCCACTGACTCTTAATAGGTTTCGGCCTATTCACCCTCCTCAGGACGATACTAGCTTTGGCCCACTGACTCTTAATAGGCTTTGGCCTACTCACTCTCCTCAGGAAAACACTAGCTTTGGCCTACTATTTCTTTATTTGTTTATTTCAAATATTTATATCCTGCCCTTCTCAACCCTGCAAGGGGGGGGGGGGGGGGGGGGGCGACGACTCAGGGCAGCTTCCAGCCGGCATGATTCGATGACTGCATGAGTACATAACAATACATAATAACAATCCATTCAATTACAATATACTTAAATATAACAGTCACATGGCCTTATCTAGCCAAGATTCCGAAATCGGAGACATCAAGCTAACTCTAACAGACTTCGGCCTGTTCACTCTTTCAGTGCTTGACTCACACTTTTGTAATAAAAAATACTAGTTAATATATAATATTTCTGACAGGAGGAACACCTGGATTCTGCTCCATGGCTGCCTTCTCAATCTGGACAAGCCAAAGTCCCCTTTCAGCTCTAGAACCACAGAGGTGGGAGGAACCCCCAGGCAGGAATCCATAACCCAAAGCCTTCCTGACAGATGCCCATCAAAGCCTTTGTTTAAAAACTTCCAGAGAAGGAGACTCCCAGGCAGGAGTGGATTCCTCTGCCAAACACCTCCTGCTTGGGTGGAATCTCTTTTCCTCACCTGTTCTTCTTCTGTCAATGGCAGCAACGCCAAGGGCTGTAGGGGATCATCCTGGAGAATGGCAGAAAACTCTTTGTCCTGGATTTCCTCTGGGACCTGAAAGGACAGGCGACACGGGGAGGAGGAAGCGAGAAAACATTACTGGCCTGCATGGGCTCCTAGTGGTTGCTTTCGGGAGAAGACACAGAAAGGGGGGGTGGGTGGTGGATGGACAATATAAACAGCGGCTCTCAACCTGGGGGTCGCATCCCCCAGGGGGGTCGCCTGGCCATTTCGGAGGGGTTGCGAGGACGCCTCCATTATAATAATAATAATAATCTTTATTTGTACCCCGCTACCATCTCCCGAAGGACTCGGTGCGGCTTACAAGAGGCCGAGCCCAAATACAACAATAAAAACAACAGCAACAACAACAACACAATAACTCAAAAAACAAAGCAATAACAAAGAATAGCAATACATTAACAACATCCAATGATGCAATTAAAAATAATGGCCGGGCCAAATGTAATAATTAAAATTAAAAATGCTGGGCATGACAAGGTGGGGTGTTTGGAGGGGATGGGCATGCAGATATCCTGGATCTCTAATAAAGTGCATTGGGACATAATGCTAGGAGTTTCCTTATTCTGGAAAGGCACACTGCAATGATGGGTTTGGGGGGTTTCTTTTTTGGGGGGGGGGCATAGTGCTAAGGGTTCGTTTTCCTTATTCTGGAAAGGCACACTGGAACAACCACGTTTTCAAGCTCCTCCTAATGATTGCTAGCAACGGGGCCTGCCTGATGTCGTTAGGGAGAGAGTTCTAGAGTCGAGGGGCCACCACCGAGAAGGCCCTATCCTGTAGGCCCCACCCCAAGGTGCGGGCCAGGTGAGGGTTCCTTCGCGTGAGGCCTGGCCTTGCGCAAAGGCTGCCTTCCCCTCTTGCCACCCAGCGAGGGTGCGAGGCAGGCGAGGGGCCCTCCGCGCAAGGCCTGGCCTCGCGCAAAGCCCGCCTTGCCTGCTTCGCATTCTCGCCATCTGGGAGTTCTGTGTGGAGGTCTCAGTGGTCTGTGGAAGTCAGCGCTGAATCGGTTGAAGGTACTGCAAATCCATATTTTTTCTAATTAATCATGATGCTTTAATTATGTTGAATTTGTAACAATTAAAACACATCCTTCATATCAGATATATACATTACGATTTGTAAAAATGCGGCGGATCGTCTTCTCGCTGGGGTGCCGGCGAGGTGTCGTATCACCCCAATTCTACAACAGCTGCACTGGCTTCCGATTGAGTACCGGATTACTTTCAAGGTGCTGGTACTAACCTTTAAGGCCTTATGTGGTCTGGGGCCGGCGTACCTGAGGGCCCACTCATCCCCTTACCAACACCAGAGATTACTTCAGTCCGAAGACCAAAATTTGCTTGAAGTCCCCAATATCTGGACTTATCATCTGTCCTCTACTAGGCAGAGAGCCTTCTCGATTGTGGCCCCTTATTTATGGAATGCCTTGCCAGTTGAAACCCGAACCATCCAAGAGCTACTTGCTTTTCAGAAAGCCTGTAAAACCTTTCTCTTCTGACAAACTTTCAATGGGTGAATAACTTGGGACTATGTCTGTTCTTGTTTTTATTGTATTTTAAGGTTAATTGTATTGTTGTAATCTACTGCTGTAAACAGCTCCGAGCCATATTGGGAGTAGCGGTATACAAGTCAAATAAATAAATAAATGTAGCAAAATTACAGTTATAAAGGAGCAATGAAAATAATTTTATGGTTAGGGGTCACCACAACATGAGGAACTATATTTAGGGGTCCCGGTGTTAGAAAGGTTGAGAACCACTGACTATAAAGCAAACATCCCCATGAAGAGCCTCAAGGATTTGCAGGATATGGAGAAGACAGCAGCCATCTTCAGGCCCTTGGGAAGGAGATGCCAGAGAGCAGGATTGTTTACCTTGTTGTCTTTGATGTAAAGTGCCAGCATCTCTTCCCGCCCATATCGGTATTCTGCGAGTTTGTACTTTGGCATGGCAGGGGAGGGAGGGGGGGACGCGACACTCCCGCCACTGGAGAGCGCCCGAAGCCTGAAGGGAGACAGAAGGAGGGCACAGGTGGAGGCAAGGCACAGCCTAGAAAGGGTCAGCATCACATAACCCAAAGGGCGGGGGGATCCCCCAAAGAAAGCCAGCCACATCTCCCAATAGGATGAAGGCGGTGTGGGCCCTTCATGGCCCCTGTGCATCCCCCTGCCCCACAACTTCACTCCTTCCTCCCCCCCACCCAACCAAACTCAACGTACCACTCTGGCCCAAAGTTCAGGGTCTCAGCTGCCATCCTACTGCTCCTTGGCTGCGCTCTCTTCCTCTCGTTGGTTGCGTCTCTCTTCCTTTTCTTCTCCAACAACCTTGGGGACAAGAGGAGTGTTAATGGCACGCACAGGGAAAGACGGCATGAGGGCGCAGGGCTACTGTGCCCAAGATCCTCTTGTTACCAAAGTGGAAAGGCTAGAAAATGCATTACAAAAGCCTTAGACGCAGGGTTTCTCAACCTGGGGGTTAGGACCCCTGTGGGGGTCGCGAGGGTGTATCAGAGGGGTCGCCAAAGACCATTAGAAAACACAGTATTTTCTGTTGGTCATGGGGCTCTGTGTGGGAAGTTTGGCCCAATTCTATCGTTGGTGGGATTCAGAATGCTCTTTGATTGTAGGTGAACTATAAATTCCAGCAACTACAGCTCCCACATGTCACGGTCTATTTTTCCCCCAAACTCCACCAGTGTTCATATTTGGGCATATTGAGGATACCTGCCAAGTTTGGTCCAGATCCATCATTGTTTGAGTCCACAGTGCTCTCTGGATGTAGGTGAACTACAACTCCAAAACGCAAGGTCAATACCCACCAAACTCTTCCAATATTTTCTATTGGTCATGGGGGTTGTGTATGCCAAGTTTGGGTCCATTTCATCATTGGTGGAGTTCAGAATGCTCTTTGATTGTGGGTGGACTATCAATCCAGCAACTACAACTCCCAAAATCAATTCACCTGAACCCCACCAGTATTCAAATTTGGTCGCATTGGGTATTTGTGCCAAATTTGGTCTAGTGAATGAAAATACATCCTGCATATCACATATTTACATTACAGTTCATAACAGTAGCAAAATCACAGTTGTGAAGTAGCAACAAAAATAATTTTATGGTTGGGGGTCACCACAACATGAAGAACTGTATTAAGGGGTCGCGGCATTAGGAAGGTTGAGGAACACTGCCTTAGAGGACATGCAAAGCAGGGGAATGGTAAGACAGAAAGAAGAGGGGCTTGCTGCTAAAAATAAGAAGGGGTCATATATATGCCTTCGTCAACCATCCAGCCCACTTATGTTATACCTTAAAGACTCTGCCTTGGATCGTACCCTCCTGTCGTGAGGCTGCTTTCAACAGCAGGGGACCTGCAGAAGAGGAAAAACGATAAGGTCACAGAGAGGCCCACCTCTCAAACCCTTTATTGAAACTGGAGGCGTGGGCAAAGACCGTTTGTTTGTTTATTTACAGTATTTCTATCTTGCCTTTTTCAGCCAGAATGCGACTCAAGGCGGCTTCCAAATTAGCAGCAGTTAGATGCCACAACAACAATAAATACCTTTAAAATATTTGACATGACATAATAAAAATCCATATAAAAAAACCCTTAAAAAAACATTAAAAACATGTAATCACCTACAACAGTGGTTCTCAACCTGGGGTCCCCAGATGTTTTTGGCCTACAACTCCCAGAAATCCCAGCCAGTTTGCCAGCTGTTAGGATTTCTGGGAGTTGAAGGTCAAAAATGTTTTGATATTGTTATTGTTTATTGCTTATTGTGTATTTTCTGTTTTTGAGTTTATTTTAACTGTTTTGTATTGATTATTGTTATTGCTTTTGTTTATTGATGTGCTGTGGGCTTGGCCTCATGTAAGCCGCACCGAGTCCCTTGGGGAGATGGTAGCAGGGTACAAATAAAGTTTTATTATTATTTATTTATTATTATATTATATAATAATTATCCAGAGGAGGGCGACTCAAAATGATAGGGATCTGGAGAACAAGCCCTATGAGGAGCGGCTTAAGGAGCTGGGCATGTTAGGCCTGAAGAAGAGAAGACTGAGAGGAGATATGATAGCCATGTATAAATATGTGAGAGGAAGCCACAGGGAGGAGGGAGCAAGCTTGTTTTCTGCTTCCCTGGAGACTAGACGCAATGGAGCAATGGCTTCAAACTACAAGAGAAGAGATTCCATCTGAACATGAGGAAGAACTTCCTGACTGTGAGAGCCGTTCAGCAGTGGAACTCTCTGCCCCGGAGTGTGGTGGAGGCTCCTTCTTTGGAAGCTTTTAACAGAGGCTGGATGGCCATCTGTCAGGGGTGATTTGAATGCAATATTCCTGCTTCTTGGCAGAATGGGGTTGAACTGGATGGCCCAGGAGGTCTCTTCCAACTCTAGGATTCTATGATTCTATGAAATAAAGTTTTATTATTATTATTATTATTATTATTATTATTATTATTATTAAAAACATCTGGGGACCCCAGGTTGAGAACCACTGACCTACAATGCCTACAAAACCTTGGGTCAGTGCCCAAGAGTCAAAGCCAAACAGTCTGGGCCTCTAAGGTGGGCTTGGCCTTCAGTTCTACCTGGGCTGGTTCCGGCTTTCCACTGCCTCTTTTTGACCAGGGGATTGGGAAGGAAATCCAAAACAGAAACAAATATCGCAATTTCAACCCGGGAGAACAGGCTACCCCTGTCTTGTAGAACATGACGGAGAACTCCCTAACTGTGTGAGGGAGAGAGTTGTTCAGCAGTGGAACTCTCTGCCCCAGAGTGTGGTGGAGGCTCCTTCTCTGGAGGCTTTTAAACAGAGGCTGAATGGCCATCTGTTTGGGGGGGGGGGGGGGGGGGGCTTTGAATGCGATGTACGCATTTATTTATTTATTATTGTTTGTTTAGAGCTTTTATAACCCGGTCTTCTCGACCTCCGAGGAGGGACTCAGGCCAGCTAACAACAGAGAATCAATATACAAATAAACTAAAGCATAATAACATCATAGTACATTAATACATTAAAACACATTAAAATACAGATCAAGAATTACATAACGCCAATTCATCAAGGTAAATCACAAATTCACCACCATCCGCCTTGGGGTCAACAGTTATTGATTCAATCATCAATCTGAGAATGCCAAGATTTTACCATCTTTCTGAAAGTCAGGAGGGAGGGGGCAGATCTGATCTCTATGGAGAGAGAGTTCCACAGCCGAGGGGCCACCACCGAGAAGGCCCTGCCTCTCGTCCCCACCAGACACGATTGCGAAGGTGGTGGGACCGAGAGCAGGGCCCCTCCAGAAGATCTTAACAACCTTGATGGTTCGTAGGGGAGAATCCGTTCGGACAGGTAAACTGGGCTGGAGTCATTTAGGGCTTTATAGGTCAACACCAGCACTTTGAATTGTGCTCGGAAACCGATTGGCAGCCAGTGGAGCTGACGCAGCAGAGGAGTAGTATGCTCCCTGTACCCCGCTCCTGTTAGTAATCTGGCTGCTGCACATTGGACTAGTTGTAGCTTCCAGGCAGTCTTCAGAGGCAACCCCACGCAGAGAGCGTTGCAGTAGTCTATACTATGCTTCTTGGCAGAATGGGGTTGACTGGGTGGCCCATGATGTCTATTCCACCTCTAGGATTCTATGCTCCAGCCACCTGTTTATGACTCCCCCCCCCCCCCCCCCCCCCCCCCCAAAGACAAAGCACTCAGTGAAAGAAGGGACGCTCACCCCAACGGCAGCCTCCCAAGCGCTACTCTTCCCAATTGGCAGAGGCAGTCAGTAGGGTAAGCAGAGAGCGCGCTGGCACAGCGGCAGGAGAGAAGGCAAGGAGGAGGGAAGAGTCCCAGCCAGCCGCAGCGCCTCCTCTTCTACGACGCAAATGACCCCAGCGAAGCCGCTCCGGCGCCCAGTCCGGCCCCAGGCCTCCGGAGACCTCCCAGGAGGCGGTGCGGCCTTGGCCCCCACCACAGAGACCGGCGGCTCAGTCCACGTTGGAGAAAACCTCTGGAAGAGATGGACAAGAAGTACGTTACACTTGCTGATGAGCCAATGACCCTCGTCCCTGGCTGGCTTTAAGAGGGGGCCAAACACAAGCTAGCTTCCCTTCATGGGGAAAGGCTCTACCCCAGGACCATTTCCAATCAAGAGAGCCAGGTATCAATTTGTCCAAGCTGGAACACCCTCTCCCACTTGTACTTTTTACATTTAAAAGAGAAGACAGGGGTTAGGGAAATGCTGAAGCTGCCCGGGAGTCAAAGGCAAGGCAGGGTGAGGAGCAGAGATATATGCACACAGCCAGCCACTTCTGGCCTGGGAGACTGACCTCCTTGCCCACCTCCCAAGTTCCTGTCCAACTGTCTGCCCAGCAACGTCTTCTCAATTTATTTATTTACAACATTTATATGTCGCCCTTCTCACCCCAAAGGGGACTCAGAGTGACTTACAAGATATATATAAGTATAATATATTACATTATTAGCATAGTACAATATCAATATTAAATATTACTATATTGTACTATACCATTATATTGTAATGATATTAGTAATATTAAATTCTATATAAATATATAATTATAATAGTGTTATTAGTATTCACCACACTAAAACAGTAAATGTGGCTCTTAATGAGAATGCTGCATTATCACGGGGTGTCTGCGCCCTACACCACTGGAGAAATTACACTGCTTAGCCGGTATTGCACTACCTGACATCCGCCAGGAAGTAGTAGCCAATAGTAAAAGGACCAAGGCAGAGACATCTCCAGCTCATCCCCTGTTTGGGTATCAGCCAGCATGTCAACGACTTAAATCAAGACATAGTTTTCTAAGATCTACAGAGACACTCGCTGGAACACCTCAGCAAGCGAGAGTCCAAAAGTGGCAGGCTCAAACCCAGAACCTCAATCCATGGCTGATACAACATGAGGGACTCCCCCCTGGGCACACAGAAGACGGGGCGACTTGGAATGCGCTGAACAGACTGCGCTCGGGCACCACAAGATGCAGAGCCAACCTTCGGAAATGGGGCCACAAAATGGAATCCACAACATGAGAGTGTGGAGAGGAGCAAGCCACTGACTGGTTGCCCTGACACAATAAATAAATAAATAAATAAAATTAGTATTATATTGCATTACATTAGATCATAAATATTGTATGTATATACAATATGTTATATTACATTATGTTATATTATTAGCATTTAATAGAATATCAAGTCTGCAAACTTTGTGTTTTGTTTGTTTTTAATGCAATACAACTGTTTTGGTTCGCTCCTGACACGATAAATAAATAAAGGATTGACTGGCCTAGCAGTTTCAAGGTCTGGCTTTTTACTATTTCCGGAACATGGCCATATAGCCCGAAAATCCCACAACAACCCAGTGACTCCAGCCATGAAAGCCTTCAACAATATAATGCCACCACATTGTGCATATGCAAACCTCATCACACCAGAGAATGGATCCTCTCCAAACCCAGTTTCTGCCTCTTGCAGAACTCTGGGGCCTACAGTCTAGTGAGACTTAAAGGTCCTCCCTAAACTACAAACCCCAGAACTCTGCAGGAGGCAGAAACCAGACATAAAGTGGATTCATTCTCTAGTGTGATGAAGGGGTAGTTTTACTTTTGGGGTGGCCATGTGTCGCAAACAACTTGATGGCACACAAAATGCACAATACATACAATCCTTCCTGCCTTGAAAAAGGGTTGTTAGACTGGGTGGCCCTTGAGGTCTCTTCCACCTCTAGGATTCTATCCGTACACCGAGTATTGTTGTTGTTGACTCTACACTGCCATTAGTATTGACAGCTTTAAAAAGCAACAAAATCCAAGGAGGAAGAGGAGGTTTACCAACGTCTCTTGGCCATACCTCTGATTGAAAACTGTGATTGTGCTTGGGCTTTGTGGGACCATGATGGCCCAGTTAACATCACTGGCCACATAATCAACTCACAGATTTTAGTGAACCTTCGTTGGCTTCTGTAAATTGATGCTTATGTTTGATGTTTATGTTAGATGTAATTTATGTGATAGATTATGTTTTATTTAACTTTAGGTGTTATGTTATACTTGCTTTTATATGTTGCTTTTATATGTTTGCACTATTGTGTTTGCATTTGCTGTTGCATTGGATGTTGGCCTTTTTTGTTTGTTGGAATCCAGCCTGAGTCCCCTCGGAGAGATAAAGTGGAATATAAATGGTTTTTTTCCTAACTAGTTCTATTATAAAAAACATGGAATACATTTATTAATCTGCAAAAACTTTGCTTTTGTGGGACATCCTGCAGCAACACATTTTGCTAGTTTCTCACTGAATATCTTATATTTGCTCCAAGTCTCTGTCCTGTTTAGGTAAGAGAACTATTGTAGCTTCCTCCCAGGACCCTGGCATCTCTCCTTTTTGGAGTACTTGATTCATTGTAGAAAGCAATAACGGGCCTAATTCTTCTTTATATATCTTGTAAAACACAGCGGAGAATCCATCTGGACCTGGGGCTTTATTTTATTTAGCTTTATCTATGGCTGTATTCAATTCTTCCCATGCTATTTGTCTGTCCAGGTCTAATTTCATATCTTCTGTGAACTTGGTGACCTTCATGTCCGCTAGGTATTGCTCTATTTTTTAGTCTTATTTAGTCATGACCAAAATAATAACATTAATAATAACAACAAATAAGTAGTTAAAAGACTGCAAGTTGTGAAGAAACGAAGACGTAAAGTCATTACCAAGAAGAATATGCTTTGACCTGGGAAACCTGGAAGTACGCTATGCTGCTGGAGACCAGCGCAGTGGTCACCAGGGCACCTTTTCCCTCCCCATCTTTACCCCTCTATCTTTTCCTACTTTTTTCTTCTTCCTCCCTTTCTATGTTCTCACAATTCAACCTATTTTCTTATTGTTCCACCACTTTCCATGTAAACCGAGGCTTATCATTACTGTTTCTTTTTATCGTTTATCACTTTCAATCATGCTCCACTCTAGGGAGCACATATTCTAAATAAAAAAACTTAAAAAAAAACTTTTTGAATTTTTCTTATGTTTGTAATTGTCTCTCCTTTGTGCCTTTATCTTGGCAATTAGTGGTCTCCTCCTATGATCTTTCACTTGCCATGCCAAGAGCCTACCAGGTTTATTTGTATTTTCAAAGAAATTATGACTATTATACATAATTTTCTTTTTTAATTCATTTGATAAGAATAACTCATATCACTTCTGAATTTTGGCTAACTCTTGTTTGGCTCTTTTCTTGTCCCCCTTAGACTTCTCTAATTCTTTTTCTTTCTCTCTAATTTTAGTGTGCATCTCTAATTGCATAGTTTCTTTTTTTTACACCAAATAGCATGTTTTTGAATTAATAGACCTCAATGAATATCTCATAAGAGTGCCGCACACCAGAGTAGGAACACCTCTGACCTTAAACACCACACCAGCTTGGTAAAATCAGCATGCAGTTTACTATAGAATATATGTAGTCAAAGCAGTAAAAAGTAGCAAAACTGTAAAAGTCCAAAATCCAAGATAGTCCATAAGCTTCAAAGGGAAACAAGATCCATTAGAACATAGAAATCCATGAAGCAAGGCCCTTAAAATCATGAAACAAAACAGCAGGAAAATCCTATAGGCAAAACATAAGCTTGGCAAAAACTTGATACATGAAACTCAGAGCACTTGAAAGCAAGACTGTGATAAAATAACAATGTTGCCTCAACTGAATCATTATAAACCTTTTCCAGAACCCAAAACTGAAAGGAAAGCATTCTTCGTGACTTTCCCACTAGATAACGGTTTGTTATCTTTCTTTTCCTGTAGACGACGTGATCGCCTCAGACTCTGAAAGCTCTGCCTCTGTTTACTAAAACTTTGCTTTCTGTCCAAGGTTGCACTATCCTCGCCCTTGTTAACTCATGCACCTGACAAATCAATCTCAGCATCATTTTCAGACAGTTGCTCTGAGAAAAGCAATGAAAGGCCTTTCCCAGGAATGTGGCCTTGTCAATCTTCCTGAAACAGTTCAGCCGTTTCTTCTGATCTTAGTTCAGGCCCAAGCAGCCCCTCATCCCCAATACCATCTGAAACATTCCCATCATGAACATCATTCCCATCAGCATGAACATCAGACACAATCACAGGCTGAACAGACTGACATTCAACATAAAGAGTTTCAACCAATTTAACCTAACTTGTGGCAGCCACGTAAATCAAGTTTCTGGAGTAGAACTACTTTCAAAGTAAGTGCCGCACAATTAAACAGGAAAAAACACTTTCAAAGCAGGAACAGATTTTTTTCACATTTTATTACATAGTGTAATAGGTGGTCGCTCTATTTTGCCCAATTTTCTTTATACCAGAAGTAGGAAAACTCTCACGTTCTGAAAGCTTCCATCATCCCCAGCCATTGCCTATCCTGGCTGGGACTGATAGGAATTGCAGTCTAATAGCCCTTAAAAGGTTGTGGCCCGCAGCTCGATCCGACTGCCTGGGCCTCTTCCAAGGCAGCGATCAAAGGTGACTAGATAGTAAAATGACTAATAAAAGTTTCAGTGAGAGTAATGAATAACAACTACCATCACGACAGAGTGCCCGGCCACCATTCTGGAATTCATTCAATAGGTTGCCTCCAACTGGAACAAAACAACAGCACTCCAGGCACAATTAAACAACATACATACTCAAGATGAATAGACAACATGTGCACGCACACACATAAAGCATGTACAGTGTTCCCTCACTTATCGCGGGTGTTACATTCCAGGACCACCCGCGAAAAGTGAAAATCCACAAAGTAGGGACGCTCTCTCTCTCTCTCTCTCTCTCTATATATATATATACATATACACTAGCCGTCCCCTGCCACGCATTGCTGTGGCCCAGTCTGTGTATATGTGTTTGTGTCTGTATATATGTGTATATGTGTGTATATATATATTTGTGTGTATGTGTATATATGTGGTTTTGCGCATGCGATGTAATGTATTTTTTATTTTTGGCTTTTTAAGTCTA